TTAGCCTGGTGATGGGTATTAAAGAAGGCACGTTCTGCATAGAGCACTGGGTGTTATACACAAACAATGAATCATGGAACACTCCATCAAAAACTAATGATGTAATGTATGGTGATTAACATAACAATAAAAAATTAAAAAAAAAAAGATGGACTTGGCTCTGTGGCTAAGAAAACAGAAATGAGGCCTGGGGATTGAGGGTGTCTGTGAGGGAGTGATTGCACCATGGAAGTAAGCTAGACAAGGGCAGAAGCAAAAGGAGGGAGAGAGAAGTCTGGTGGACAGTGAGTGATTGGTAAGGTTAATGAATAGGAAGTTGTAAAGTCAAGTGGATATAGGAGAATGGGTACTGTCGAGGTAGGGACTAGAGAGATCAGGTGACGTGGTCCAAGAAAGGGACGGTAGGAATTGAAATTTCAAGGTGGTGGTGATCAGCTCTGGGGGTACTTTGTAACTGACAGAGAAAGAAAGAAAAATCATTACAGTTAAGGAGGCCAAGGAACTGAAAGTTCCACCTCAAAATAAGTTGTAAAACCATTCTTATTTATCATGTAGATTTCATGGATCATTTCAAATCCTTATTTGGAAAAGGAGAGGGTGCACATAAATAAATAATAAAGATGGTAGCTGATTCATTGCGGGTCTACTCTGTAAATACCCTTTTAGGACAGACTTTTGAATGTTATGCACCAGAATTTTGTACTACCATTAAGATACTGCGGGAAATATTCTAAAATGTGTTAATTCTCATATTTTAATTAGTGATTCTTGTTTCTCTATCAGTAATAATAACAAGACTCCCTGTGGCCTTTTGGTAATACCTTTTGCGTGGCGTACAACACCCTTCTGTTCTAGCCCTAATTATGGGTCCAGTCTCATCTGCTGCTATTCTGTTGAGATGTTCTAACCACACCAATTCCTGAGAAGTTCCCAGTATCAGGTCAGGTGTACATGTCCTTGCAAATGCTGTTCCTTCTGCTCAGCATGCTGCTTCACCTGGATAACTCCTACCCATCTAGACTGTAAGCTCCTGGGTCAAGCCTTTTCAAAAAAGTTGAACCATCCCAAAGTGCCATCTTTGTGGGTCAAATATTGGCAATGTCATGTTGTTAGTAATTTGTTATCACAAATGTAAGTTTGAGCCATACATTACTGATAGTAGCTATCACTTGCTGAATTGTAACTGTGTGCCAAGCACTTTATATTTATCAACTCACTTAATTGCTACAAGCCTGAAAGGTGTGTGTAAATACCTCTGTTTATTAGATAAGGATTATGCGACTTAGGGCCTTTCTAGGAGATGATAAAAAATAAATGGCAGAACTGGGTTTTAATTCCAAAGGCAAAGGTCATACCATGCATGCCCCCATTCTTTCTATTTTTCATTGCTATGTCTGCAGTGCTTAGCATGTGTCTGGTACACAGTTGAAAATGTATGATATTCTTCACCTATCAGAAGACTACCCAAACAAATTTGAAGGCTGGCTTTGTTCAAGGCCCCTGGGACTCTAAATTCTGACACCTTCTGGTGGCCCAGTCTCTTGACATTGGCTTTACCTTGATGAATGTTGCTGCTTCCCTGAAATTTAGAAAGATATGCTTTGATGGGTGAAATTCAGAGTATGAACTACCCTTAAAGTCTTAATCCTATAATCACTCTTTGTTTTAAGTCACTGCCCTGATCCACATGTGGATCCCTATTGGAACCTGCAGACAGGTTCCCTATTGTTGGCCCTGTAATTATCGAGGAGGACAACTTCTTTACATCATGAGAAGGACATGTGGTGCCAAGGCTTGGTGCAATACAGACAGAGGGCAAAGGGTATCTGGGTTCATTTCCTGAATACTCTTTTTCTTTCACTGATACAGAATTTACCTGGTGCTCATAAGCACAATGGTACTTTCTTTCTAAAGACCAGAAATCTTTTGGCAAGTACAGCATAGCATTCCTGAATCCCTGCATGTGGAGCCTAAAATTCCTTCTTGATTCAAATTTTGATTCTCTAAGTTTCAACAGAGTTTCTGGTGTCCAAGGCCACTGCAGTGGTTCTCAAACTTTAGCGTGCATCAGAATCACCTGGAGGGTTGTTGGAACGCAGATTTCTGGGCCCTGCTCCCAGAGACTCTGGTTCGGTCCATCTGGGCTGGAGCCTTTGACTCTGCAGTTCAATCAAGCTCCCAGATGATGTTGATACTGCTGGTCCAAGGACTACACTTTGCCTAGGTCACAGTCCTGCTCAAGTCCTGGTTTAGAGGATATCACATGAAGTTGGATGTAAAAGCAAAAATCTCAGAAATTTTCTCAGTAAACATCTGAATGCTGAATGATATAGACAAAAAAAAAAAATCAATGATTTAAAAAAATTATCTCCCAATTTTTTACATTATATTAAATACAGTCAACAATTGCTCTTTTGTGGAGGGAGACTAGTTGGCTGGAATCTGGGAGTCCTTCTTCCTTCCCTGAGCTCATCTCAGGTCTTAGAGAAACTTTCTTCTCCATGACCTATAGGACATCAGTGTGTTTTGTTCTTAAAGCTACTCTAGAGGGAGATGCTGCATAAAGTTGATCACTCTTTCAATACAAAAGTGAATGCAAAAAGTTTTCAAGATGAAAATATTCCATAATGTAATAGAAAATACGGTCATTAGATTTAGGATGCAAAAGGGTGATTTCTCATTTTCCCTCGTTTAGATGCTTAAAAGATATTTGCATTTTTATTAGATTCAAAATGGGGCTGAGTCATACAGATCGACACATTTCTTTTTAACAGGAATCCTTTGTGTTTGAACCCAACTGCCTCTTCAAAGTGGATGAATTTGGCTTCTTTCTGACCTGGAGGAGTGAAGGCAAGGTAGGGCACAGGAACTGCAAGTTGTTCTTTCCTGCTCTCTGATTTAAACCATTATATTTCTCAACAAGTAGTCAGAAGGCCTCTTAAGGACATGGACCCCTACACTTACTTATTTATTCAAGATTTTAAAAACGTTCTTCCATATGGCAGGCATTGGGGATACTACCCTAGTCCTCATAGATTCCAGTCTAGGAGAAAAGCAGACATTAAAAAAAAAAAAAAGGTACAAGTCATTGAGTGTTGTGAAAGAGAAGGTCGGGTTGTTACAAGAGTTTAAAACAGGCAGATCTGATTTAATCTTGAGAATTAGGAAGGTTTTCTAGAAGAAGAGAGTTTCAAGTTGAGTCTCAAAGGTGCATTAAGAGCTTGTTCATCTTGTTACACCCTGGGACTTCACTCAATACACAGCACAGCGCACACATTAAATGAATCTTTGAACTGAATTTAAGGAAATAGAATTGGAATTCTATAGAAGTATTGTACCCACTTAAAATTAACACACACATGTGTTTAATGCTATACATACTCCAGTTACAGTATTATATGCATAAAGATAACAACACTTTGTAAACATAAATAATTTTTCAGGCCTGCATCCGTATAGACAAGTGTATTTGAAATGGAAAGTATGGGGTCTTCACTGTTTCTGATTGTCGGGTATTTTGATGACTGTCTTTTGGTTTTCGCTCCCTCTCTACCTTACTATCATTGACATTGCCTTCAGAATCACGTAACTTGTCCGTGCCATAGGTCTGGCAAGATTTCAGCTCACTGCTGTATTATATTCTCTCTTTTCAGGAAGGACAAGTTCTAGAATGCTCCCTCATCAACAGTATTCGATTGGGAGCCACCCCCAAGGTACCTGTGATTGGTGTTGGCTTTTCTTCTAAACACAGATTTACTTAAGTTGGAAAAGAGTTCTGAAATGTTATTTAACCCTTTACTGCCCCAAACGCCATCAGCTGGGAATGAAGGGCACATGGTTTAGAAATCTTTTCATCTATATCCATTGGGTGGTTTGGGTTGCATTATGTTTAGTTATATTAGAAGCATTATTCACCTTTCAAAGAGAAGGTGCTTGCATGATACCTCCACCAAAGAAACAGTTTCCTTAACTCAGAAATTAATTCATCAAGGCCCCCCCTCCCTCTTCTGCCATTTTTTTTAAGCCAACAGTGAGTCGCTTCTGGTCTGTGGTTGATGTGGAAATTTAAATGGCATGGTTAATTCCGTATTTGTGCACCTGTGCACGCAGACAACAGCTCACCTTGGAGGCTTCGTTTGCCTCTGAGAGAAAAAGATGACAGAGCATATAAATCCATCTTCTTCACAGTGATTGACTTGTTTGAATAAGAAGCTGTTTGCATAGGGCGCCTGGGTGGCTCAGTCCGTTAAGCGACTGCCTTCGTTCGGCTCAGGTCATGATCCTGGAGTCCCTGGATCGAGTCCCGCATCAGGCTCCCTGCTCGGCGGGGAGTCTACTTCTCTCTCTGACCCTCCCCCTCTCATGTGCTTGCTCTCTCTCATTCTCTCTCTCTCAAATAAATAAATAAAATCTTTTTTTAAAAAAAAAAAGAAGCTGTTTGCATAGTGGTGCTAGGAATTTAGAAGCTGCCTTTTTTTCTAGAATATTAAAGCACAGTATTTATTCCCTTTTTCATAATAGCCCTGCAGGTTTTTAGATGTTGAAAAACAAAATTACGTGCCTCATTTTGTTTCTGTGTGTCTTTTTCAAAGCTGTCCTCTTTTATGTTAGTTAAAATTTCTGCGTAACCATGTTGGCATTTCCTCCTGAGTTCTTTCGGAGGACAAATATGCTATTTTTTGTGCTAATTAGGGTAGACTTACACTCTCTTCATTCCAAATGAAGATGCCATGGCTTCTAAGAGATGAACATACTCACTCTTTGTGTCCAGGCTACTCGACTTAATCTTATTTTTTAATAACCCTTGGTTGCTGGCTGTGGCAATGCCTATGTTTATTTGCATGAGACGTCAGTGACTGTCCTCTGCTCAAAGACCCCTTTGATCTTTGTGGACCCAAACAGGTCCCGGTCAGAGCCTTTCCATCATCCAGGTCCTCTGATAATTACAACCAAGAACCTAAAGAAAGACCCTCATACCTAGTTTTCTCAATTAATGATATTAGAATACTTTTCCTACCAAATGAGTTCAAGTAGTATGTAGTGTTACAAGTTTTACTTCTACACGTTTTAGAATAATGCTAGATATCAGGGCATTTTTAGATGGAGAACATTTGTCCTTCTGTGTATTTTTACATCAAATGAGCATGTTCCCTCCATGCTCTGTGGTCTAACAATTTTTCTCTATTTGTGTACTCCTATACAGGATCCCAAAATCCTCGCCGCTCTTGAAGCTGTTGGAAAGTCAGAGAACGATCTGGAAGGGCGGATAGTTTGTGTCTGCAGTGGCACAGATCTGGTGAACATCAGTTTCACGTACATGGTGGCTGAAAATCCAGAAGTAACTAAGGTAGCCTCAGTGAAAAAAACCTCCCTTCCCTTTCCCCCGTATGTATATATGTGGTATGTATGCTATATATAATTTTGTTTTCTATATTAAAGTTGTATAGTAATAATTTTAATTTAAAATTTTAAAAATATGTATTTCTATTGCTAGCTGTAATGTGGTGTAGAAAATTCAGCAAGCACAGTACTCTTTTAGTGTATCACTTAAGTATACCAAGAATCCAAGCACTTCTGTGGATATGTTGTAGGAGAAACTAGCCCAGCACCTGTCACACTAGAATGTGCACAGGAATCACCTGGGGTTTTGTTTCTTTTCTTTTCTTTTTTTTTATTCTTATGTTAATCCCCATACATTACATCAT